GGCACATAATTTCCGAGATCCTTACCACATCCAACCAGCAAGTCACAAATCGCATTCCGTCATGGATTGATTCAAAATCGCCCTTTGGCTTTCTGGCCCCACACGAACCTATTTACCTTGTACAGATATTACCCCCAATAGGTATATACTTTGATCGTTTATTATGTGCATTCACCGGTCACCCAACCTCTGGGTTTAACCTCACTGACAAACTCGCTGTCAGTTTGGACAAAACAAGGATGAGGATGATATGGATACCAACCAATGTGATGATTGAGAGGACACAAATGATAAGGAAAAACATATTTCACACGACAGTTTCTGCTCCGATGATTCTGATGTCGGCGCCAGACGCCTTGCATGTATCTATACTACACATGCGAGAACTCAGTACTGGCGTACTGCCAACCGGTAAATCATTCGCGGAATTGAACTACATACGCATGCAATTGGATCAGATGTGTTAATCCCCGATTGCAAGGATTTCCAAATTGGCCTTTTATGGTTTACATTTTTCCGTTCGAAATTACCCTGTATAATCAACTGTTCCTGGACCGCCTTGCTAAGCACTACATCCCGTGTTATCTTCAGCAAACGCATTTAGTTTTGTCTGCCTGCGCCTGAATACCCATTCAGCATCCCTCGCCAGCAATTTCCTTTAGACAAAGGGTGCACTGGCAACCTCTAAAATTTTACTTTGATAAGAATACGTTATTCAAAACGCTCTGCTCGCGTGAAAATCTGATAACCTTGACGTTCGAGCATAGGATACAGTCCAGTGGTCGGCGGCAGCGCCAGCCGACCCCCCCCCCCCCCCCTACCGATGCGGCTCACTCGTTGGGCCATTTAATCTTATTGGCACACGCCACAATTACCCACCATCTTACTTGAAAACACTAATACAGTTCAAGTTTACAGCCTTCTAAAATATCTTGAACTTGAAATTTCACTGAAACGACTCGCATATTTTATGCCTTGGAAGGCTAAGGTGCGATTTTAGTGCCACGTGGAGTAACAGCTCGCCTGCGCCTTTGTTGCACGCTATTTGTGAGGCAACTTGCCAGAGAGGCACTCCTCAATTTGTGCGAATGCAGAAGACATCGCAGCTGTGAAGTGAAATCACATTCCACCATGCAGGTGGGACCAATGCGGCTGCTGGCCGGCGCTAAGTAATGACCGGCGGGGCACCTCTCGCCCTAATTGGTCTTCCCGAAGGAAGTGCACCACGTCCTGCTTCCAGGCTCCGTCGTTTGCGCTGCCCGAGCCCCTTCCCGGGGAGGGGGGGGGGGGAGTGGCTGGGTCACGTCTACATCCACCACTCGCACCCACAACTCGCTGCGCGTGCTGTCGGCGCCGGACCAGCACTTGCATTCTCCTTCGAATCAGGTGTGTAGTTTCCTATTCGTTTGGAGGGAGAGGGGACTTCAGCCGCCCTCTCAGCTTGGGCTCCAGTCCCTCATCTTGAAAAGAAAGTGGGGCAAATTTGGGGACAAATTAGGTTTTTTACCTATTTGAGGAGAGGTAGGTTGAGTTGTTGTTCACCTTTCGACCCCATCTCCCCGCAACTTATTGTGCGAAATTGCGCCCTGCTTCGAACGTACTGACCAGCTTTGAAACGGCAGGGAATCAAGTTATACAAAATCGCTTGTTAAAGCATTTGATCTTTACAAAATTTCGCCTGGTCAAGCAGCTTGCATGCAAATTCTAAGCGATTTACATGTCAACTCGCCACGAACTGGGCTTCTGTTTGCTGAAAACGGCACAAACTTCCAATGAGGGGTTGCAAGTAACAGCTTTATCAAAACACATGGCGAAGGCGAGCGAGCCAGGCCACCCAAATACAAAATTAAATCATTTAAGACTCCCTCGGCTTGCAACTCCGCTCAACAAAAGTAGCCAGGTAGGTAGTGAATCAGCTGAACGTGCAGCCATTCTGCAGGGCTCCAATGCATCCTCCCCCGGCGCGAGGCGGGCCGTCCCAGGTGGGGACAGTTCCAAGCCCAGCTAGCAAATGCTAGTTGCGCCATTATTGTTTACATCGGTGCTGTGTGGAGCAAGGCCGGCTTTTGGTTTTGGCTTCAACCTACCTCTCCTCTCTACCTTGAGGAGAGGTAGGTTGAGTTGTTGTTCATCTTTCGACCCTCCCCCCCCCCCCACAACTCATTTTGCGAAATTACGCCCTGCTTCGAATGTACTGACCAGCTATCAAACGGCAGAGAATCAAATTGCAACAAAATCGCTTCTTAAACCATTTCGTCTTTCCAAAATTTCGCCTGGTCAAGCAGCTTGCATGCAAATTATAAGCGATTTACATGTCAACTCGCCACGGACTGGGCTTCAGATTGCTGAAAACGGCACAAACTTCCAAGGAGGGGTTACAAATAACAGCTTTATCAAAACACATGGCGAAGGCGAGCGAGCCAGGCCACCCAAATACAAAATTAAATCATTTAAGACTCCCTCGGCTTGCAACCCCGCTCAACAAAAGTAGCCAGGTAGGTAGTGAATCGGCTGAACGTGCAGCCATTCTGCAGGGCTCCAATGCATCCTTCGCTGTTGCCCTGCGCGGGGCGGGCCGTCCCAGGTGGGGACAGTTCCAAGCCCAGTTAGCAGATACTGGTTGCGCCATTATTGTTTACATCGCTGCTGTGTGGAGCAAGGCCGGCTTTTGAGGATCATTTACTTCAAAGATCAATCATCGCCAATGATGTTTTGGAATGCAAGTACCGTAATCACTGCATGCCTATTAACAGGGACGCGGAGCGACATCGAAAATTGTTGTGGCCTCTGTGTCAGGCATGACATCGAATGTTTTTAAGAAGTTTCGAAAAGTTTCGGTAGGAATAGATCTAGCATCACATCTGCTCACAAAGGCACGGTCTGGCTTATAAGCCGCCAGCCACAATTTTATCTCAGAGATTACGAAAAGCCCTGATAAAAGGTGCGGCCTAGAAACCACGCGCCGAAAACTTTCCAATTTTGTTTTAGAAATGCTCAGAGTAATTCTTATAAATACGGCTATCGTGCAAAGCATCAAACCAGCAAATGCGTGAGACTGGAAGGCGTCAGCGTGAGAATGTGACAGCAGTTTTTCTCCGGCACAGGCAACACTTGCTGAGTATTGTCAGCTGCAGCTGGGAGACTGGATCAATACCTGCCGCATGGAAACATATCAATGTGCCGGCGACCATAGCGATTGCCTGTGTACTCCACCAAGCACCATCTATACGGGGACACCGGCGCGGCCATCACCGTGGCACGTCCACTCGACAGTATTAGTGGTGTCAGGGACAAGAGTGAAAGGCAGCAACATATAGTGGACGAATCTCCACCCTTTCACCTCCAGGCCTCTCAACATGACTTGACGTCATATCTCACCTACGACATTTAAAGTCAGCTGGCAGCAGTCACGCGAGTTCTGAGTCAGTGTGGCCCTCTGGTTCTGGGAATGATCGGACGGCGACAGCCGTGTGGCCAGCGGGCGCCGAATGGCTGTATCAATGCAACAATCATGCTATAAGCGGCGTGTTGTGAGCGACCGTATCGATTTCACCACCGGGCGCCCACAAACGTGTTTGTGGAAATCAAAACGAGGGAATGGTCTTTGCGAAGACTGTGCCACTTGTTCAATGAGGTCATGGAGTGACCTATGGGTTGCCGGGTTACTGAACCCAATGTTCCACTTTGCAATGCAACACATCTACCATCATGCACTCAAAAGTGTGCTCTGTACGTCAGTCAGACTGCCAGAACGTCGAAATGGTCTTTAAAGAGTCGCTGGACCTTCAGCGCCCGTGGCGTGTGCTCTTCTCGATGTCGCACCGCACTGCGCATCAGCTCGTCGAAAGGCACGAGATGATCCTGACATCGATCCTGACATCGTCCAAAAGTCACGCACGCCGCCGCATGAACGTCCGGACGGAGGCGGCCCACCATCGCCGTTGAAACGGGAGCAGTCACCCTGAGCCTGCACATCCTCTGTGCACGTGAAAATCCCGGGGCAATCTTCCTTCCAAGTATGGATTTTGGTCATGTCTCACCAACATTTTCACGAAGTCTCGCCCGTTAAGAGGGCATATCAGTAAGTCATGATTCATATCTTCATGGCCCAAGCCATAATCAATGTTCTCTAATGAATCATGACTTTACCCACGATGCATGATATGACTTCCCCACGCCCTCATGCTCATGATCCGCATACACAGCACAGATGCCCTCAAGGGTGATTCATGCCTTAAAGGACGTGGCGTTTTAAAGACGTACTTTCGGGGGCGGGGGGGGGGGGGGGGTGACGAGAAAAAACTTGCGAAAAAAACTTTGAGCAAAAAACCTGGCGATGAACACAAACCACAAAACGTTGAATTTTCAAGATAATCGTTGCTTGCTTGATGACGTCATTTAACTAACCTTGTCACAAAACCAACGTCGAATATTTTCAGCAAATTCCCAACTCATGCCGAAACGTCATGAGCGCTATTGCACGCGATAGCTATGGCATATCGCGCTAGTAGCGTGATATGTAGCACGCCTGGTCTCGTCTGTCACAAAAACCTCGCTGGCGGGCTCCCGCGAGCTTTTCACACCACAAATGCGGAGTGGTGTGGGTAACCTGAGTCCCATGTAACCAACCTCAGTCCAGACACTGCCTCCCATTCACTCTGCGCTGGCGGCGCCTCTGTCAGAGGTCTGCGCTCAACGGAACGGGTACTGAAGCGCGCTGCCAACTCCCGCCCCCGGCGCGCCAACGCATGCGGGTGGGGAGTCCCGCCGCCCAGTCACGCGCATTCCCGGCCAGGGACGCACGAACAACGCGGAAGCGAGCTGCAAAACATGCAGCCAAACACGCTGCCCTAAATTCAACTGCATTTTAATGTACGTTGCCTTAAAAGAAACAACCATAAATAATTATTCCACCGCCCAATTGCGACACTACTCCTGCCTCCCACTCCTCTCCCCGTTCTTAGCAGACAACATCACTGGCTCACACGAGTGGCCCTCACCTTGCACGGCGGTCACCAGCGCAGCCACGCAGATAAGCAGGTGCCACATGTTGGTGTGTCTCCGCCGGCGCTCCGTTCTCCGATTCACCACCGGCCCAGCGTCGGCCGTACTCCCGGCGTTGCGGTGCGGCGCGGCCCACTATCGATCCCCGGCGCCGTGACGTCACAACACGCCACAGGTTCTGGTCGTGTTCGCAGCGAGCTCGCGCGAGCCGCGTCCCTCCGAGCCAATGACGAGGCGGAGACAGACGTGGGTCGCAGCGGTCCGCGACGCTGAGACGCCTGGCGCGGACGAGCGGAGCACGAGCTGGAAATAGTCGCGGCGGTCAGGGCCCTCCAGTCTCAAGGTCACGCGTCGCTACAGGGGCGACACCAGCACCGCGGCGGGTGGGGCTTGGGAAGCACCCCCGACCACCCAGTGGTGATTTCCGCGCAGACATGTCTGCCATGCGCCTCCTGGTACTGGTTGACGGTGTGATGCATGGAATGACGTGTAGGACGTTTGAGCTTTTGATGAGCTCAAGTCGGAGAAAGCGCGGTCCCTGGAGTCGAGCGATTTTTCACGTTGCCCTCTAATCCGATAGCGGCGCGGGTTTGTTGCGAACACTCGTCCGTCCGCCGCTGAGTGAGCTAGGCACAGGGGCATTAGGACAGGGGACGTGTCCACGCCTACATGCCTGTTGATCAAGTGCCCCGACGTATGTCCTCGAACTGCTCCGGTGTATGTCCTCGAACTGCTCCGGTGTATGTCCTCGAACTGCTCTGGTGTATGTCCTCGAACTGCCTCGGTGCCGCCGCCAAGCTTTTCCTATGCCTACGTTTCGTCCTTCCTTTCGGCCAATCTACGTTTACCTGTCTAGCATCATGCAAGCGTGCAGCAGCTGTTGTAAAAGAGTGGCAGGCGCAAAAACGCCGATGGCAATATTTGCCAGCTAATGTAAGTGGCATGGGATAGCTATTGGTTAGCAATACCCCACACAGAGGTAATGCCAACCGTTGGGAACGGCCGCGGTCCGCGTCAGTTACTGTGAGATGTAGAGTAGGTCACTGCCAATTTGGATCTTGTATTTATGTCCGACCAAGAAGCGCTGGCACATATCAGAGGGGCGTGGTTCCTCGCGTTTAAGGTAGTATAGTTCCGGTGGAATTTGGCAACGCGGTAGAATTCGTTAATGAAGCTGAAACTCTTGACTTCATTACTGTGAAAAAGACTGTTGTCGCTGACGACTTGTTCCTCCGATCTAAAATCACTCGTTGTCGTATACATGTGGTAGAACAGGTCTGAAATAATAAATTACATGCAAAGATTTAAGCCGATAGTAGTGTATATTCGAAACCTTCTTTGGTCACAAATTGCAGAGAAGCACCACGGAAAGCAATACGTTCGGTGACGGAATTCTATTTCATGACCTTGATCTCTATCGTCTTTTTAAATGGAATTTGTCATGCTCTTCCTGAATAGAACCTCAAAGAACACCGTTACCTCAGCTTTGCTTTGGGTAGCAGTGTTGGTATCGGTTTTGGTGACTCATTTGGCTACAGTGTCGTCATATTCTGTCAACATCTACCGCTGCTGCCCGCAGATCGATGTATCACGCGTGCAACGAGGATGTACTACTCCGCACATTTGCTTTTATGGAGAACATGGCAGTGTCAGGACACGGATATCTCTGAACTGGCTGTACGGGACACGGATGTCTCTGAACTGGCTGTGCAGGACACGGATGTCTCTGAACTGTCTGTGCATGACATGGATGTCTGAACTGGTTGTGCCCTCCCGCACACATTTCAGCACGCATTGGTGTGGGGCACATGTTTGCACGGTCGTAGGGGGCTCCACTACCAAACGCAGTTCGATCTTGTCACCAAACGCGTTTTCCGGTTATGATGATATTGTGTTTGTACTCTGTACTGTACTTATGATGTTTTCAATGTTTCCACCTGTATTGGAGCATTGGAAATTTTGCGATTGATTACACCGCCATGATCCACAGAATATGCCAGGTGCCCCCAAATTTATGCGATTTTCCGGTTTGCCGGCCTGCATATTTTTTGATAGAAATTAGTTGAAACATTTTTTTGAAGGATATACTTCCCAGATCAGAGCCTAGGCAAAGCGCAGTCCTCATTATGTGAGCCCTGCCCCCTCCATCCCATCATGAAATTCCAGGCCACCGGCATAATTTGGAGGCGAAATTTAATACGCGCCCGCTTGGCCGGTTGAAAACCCTTTGCTCGGGTAAAGGTCAACTTGACCCCAAAGATCCAAAAAGCTAAGATATTTAGAGACACCAAATTTACAGGGTAGGCTGAGCTTTACGTGAACCCACTTGTGCCAAAATCTTAGGTAACTAGACTACGTCTTGGGGTCAACTTAGGTCAAACAGCGACAAACTCTAAATTGGTGTTTTAAGTGCCCCAGAGCTACTCATGCAACCCATGTTAAGTTAGATACCTATTCTAAGCGAAGGCCCAATAGTGCTCATCTAAGGTCAATGACCTTTTTGACCTGTATAAGGTCATTGGTACCATATGCCTACGAGACGGCTCCTATTTTGCCAAGTTACCTATTCTTACGTTTAAAAAAATCCATAGGACATGTCTGCTGCGGTTCCTGTCGTTAATGGATTACAAATGAGTACTAGAAACTACCCCGTGAGTCAAGCTCTGAAGTAAAAAGGCAGATTAGTTTTAACCTAGGTTCGAGAACCATTCTGGAAAAACATTTGGGAGTGAGTCAACTTATCCCCCCCCCCCCCCCGAGCGCGTATTGAAGGGAATGTTTCACATTTAGACATTGAAGCAAACATAAGATATTATTAAACAATATCACTTATAACTACTGGTACACTTTTAAGTGTAAAAGACTGCTCTAGACAGCACAATTCTCTGTTGAGCAACTATGCTCCTCAATGCGTCATGGTTTGATCACGTCATCGTACCTTGCACAGCATTGATAGTGAACCAATTGACGCCCGTTGTATCTGAAAACCGTGCGCACGATCACCAGATATGAACATCTTGACAATTTTAGTTGTCTTGGCCTTGATTGCCGCATGACTTATGAAGTGGCAGGATTTGAATGGCGTTATTTTTGCGTCATGAATGCCAAGGTGACTTTGAAATACCCTCCCACAGCTACACTGTCATATAGATGAAAAGTGTGCCTACGAATGGAAGCGAAACGGGAAAGTTAACAACGTAAATGACAAACCAAACTGCAGGATTATTCTTCGAAAGAAAGTGTGCGCGCATATGCATAAAATGTACGCTGAGTGAAATGCACAAATTTGTACTTCTCTGTGCTGCGCTCCGTAGCCCGCTAGAAAAAATTGCGTCCATAAGATGTATCTTCGCTAACAAGCAATGTGGTCAGTGCGGCTGCGAAACATATCCTGTGGCGTCGGGATTTGACCCTGTTCATGGCATTACAGATTTCCACATCCTGTCAGGTATTTATCGGTCCCCTCACTTTGATGCAAGAGTCTTTGCTCTGAAAGTTCTCAATGAAATGCAATACACCCTTGAAGTGAGTGTTCTACATTACGATTGGGTCTGAATTGAAATGCTTTTTTGAAGATTATTCAGTGCAGTTCAAGGCTCTGCCCTTCTTAAGGCCTTAGAACCCTCTAATTCTTGGGCGACACGTCCGCTACAATGCCCGAGTTCACTTTCCTCAAAGTTTGAGGTTCCTACGTCACGACCTTCAGGTCAAATAAGGTAAAACAAGGTCAAACTCCGTTTGGTGTCCAAGGTGTACCCAGAACCTAGATACCTGTTCTATGCAAAAGTTCACCTGCTCACTGAATGTCATGGCATATCAGGTGCTGTTAATGAGTACAATCATATAAGACCGCTAGTTGAACCTTACATTTGAAGAAGCGACACAGGTTGCACTAGCCAGTATGTCCCTAAAAACGAAATTATGACCTAGGCCATTTTGGGTCAGTGACCTATTCTGACCTTTAGGAAGTTTATGAAAGACGTATAATGCGGTTTACGTTATCAATAGATTCCAAATGTGCAACAGAGATGACCTCATGCTGTAAGCCCGAGAGTGAAAAAACAGGGTTGTTTTGACCTTGGTCTGACCTTCACACCTGATCCCAGTTCAATGGAATCTGCTCACTCAATTGTTTGCTTACCTCAAAAGGTATTTCGGAAATGTATGGCTTGGTCTAACACTCCGTTGTTGCATCAGGTTAAACGATTCCCTAGAAACTGACCTCGCTGAACCTATGGTCTGCGTTTGACCTGCCGTAGGTCAGTTACCTTACAAAGTACATCTAAATTTGTGACACAAAACGATTCGCTATTCAATAGTCTACATAGATGGAAAATTTGGCGCGGCTACGCCGCGCTGTTGGAAAACCATTTTGAAAAGACCACTGGGGAGGGCGTCAAATTGATCCCGACCCGAGCGCGTGTCAACAGGAGCCTCTTTGTTGACCTGCCGCATCAACCTGGATCGCTGGATTGCTCAGGTGTTGTTCCTATTGGTCTTGGGTTTTCCCATTTTATCGAAGGACCCACACTATTGACGGCCCCTTAAATGTCCATCAGCCGGGGTACTCTCGATCTCTCCAAGGTTCTCCAAATTGGTCTTGGGCTCTTGAAATGAAATCAGAAGGACCTTACGCTGTCGTCGAAATCCCGCATGTGCTTGCGAACACAGCGCTTCGGTCACTCATCGCATGCCATCTGCTTGTGTCATCTGCTCCTTGTGACGTCATAGTAGCATCATCCAAATCCCGTCATTCCATAAGTTATACGGCGATAGAGACCAAGGCAAATATAACCGTTGAAGCTTTCATATCTGGCGTTCATGAGTACGATTTCCCGATAAAGTAGCCGTCACTTGGCTCTGAATCAATGTCAATGAATGAATCAATGTGCAATGTGCGATAACATAATCAAACAGTGAAGCATTGAGGAGCATGCTAACTAAAAAGAGGATTGCGCCGTCTAGAGCAGTCTTTTCCACTAAAAGGTATACAAGTTTTTATAAGTGAGCTTGTTTTATTATATCTGCTGCTTGCTTCAACATCTTCAAAATATCCCCTTTAGTGCAACAGGTACGGCAAGGTTTTTCCTCGCCGGGTCTACTTTTGTATGCAATCAAAGGCTACCAAACATTAGGCATATATGACGCATATCGGACATACAGAAGGACGTAAACAGCTAGTGTGTGTGTCGGGGGGGGGGGGGGGGGGGGGCTGTGCAAGTGGTGCGTGCGGATTGCTACGTGGTGTGCGGCGTTGGGTGCAGGGCCGCGTGGATGTCGTAGAGGTGGGTTTACCTGCTACCTCATATGCGACCTCGGTAGTCATTACGTCTGGGTGAGCGTTGGTGCGTTGTGCAGTGCGCACTCCGTGTCTATAAAATGAGGTAAGGAAAGACGAGAGAGAATAAGAGACATACGGTAGGGAAGGGGTGAGGATCAAGCAGTTAGCGGGATAATAAACATGCATCTTAACCTCAATTTTCCCTTGTACTTGAGGCAAGCTGCTCCATATCCTGAGTATATCATCTCGGATTGTTGATGTTATTTTGCCTTGCAATATCCAATGAACATTGCAAGAACTAAACTCTGTTTTGGCAGGAAGGATACCTGTTGTAGGCTTAGAAAGGATTTTTGTTGTGGAAACATTGCTATTATTACATTGATAAGCTACTACAGGAATCAATGATGATTTTAGAATATGAACTTAGCATCAATCACATTCATTTTGGTAGGTAAATATGCTTTAAATGTTTTGTAGACAGCTCACCACCTGAAGAAAGTCAGATGAACCACCTGCTGATCACCGGACTGCCCGGAGTTGGCAAGACCACTCTTCTCCAGCGGGCTTTGGAGCAGTTGAAAAATGGTAAGTTGATAGCTGTGGCAGAGCCCCATCCATGGATGGATGATTTTATACCTGCTGGTGCAAGAATTTATGTCCTTAGTAATCTGTATGTATTTTATAATGATCTGAACATCTCAATGTACTAAGTGGCATCACAATCACGAGTGGAATGGACAGAGGCATGTAGATAAACTAGCATAATCAGAAGGTTGTTTCAGCTGCTCAGTGAGTCAGGTGGGATTTCAATTCATTGTGTTGGTCCCACAGTCAAGGCATTGGTGCATTACTAGGATAGAATGGTTTGTACACTGACTTTTGCTCTCCCACAAGTTTAAAGTCTGCCAAGTTAATGTGTTAATTACTTACATATTCCATATCACAATTTATGGGGCTATGGTGGTTTAAGCAACACATGTTTGAATAGGGCAGCTAGCCAACATTTTTACCCTCCACTGCCCCAGACCAAAAAAATGCTTCAACATGATGCCATCCAGTCCTGCATACATAACTAGTTATCTGCTCATTATTGTGCAATGCTGTGCAAACTCATTGTTATGCTATGCTGTTTATGATATGGCATGTATTGCCTAGTGCATTACATATAACAGGCATGGTTTATGAATAATTATGCATGACCAGACACCATATCAACAGATTACAAAGTGTACACTTGAGTACCTATTCCTTAATGAATAAAAGTGACAAGGATTTTTTATGTTTGTCACAAGATCTTTGGCTGTCCTACAGAACCACTTGACTAAGTGGCATCACCTTCCACCATGGGAAGAACTTGAACCCACTTCAATCAACACCCACAATCAATCATGGACTTGAATGCTAACCCAAGTATGCATTGTCACCGCCAGTGCCGGCGACTGGCTTCGTGACGGAGGAGGTGCGCCAGTCCGGCGACCGTGTGGGCTTCGACGTGGTGACGCTGACTGGCGGCCGGGCGCCGCTGGCTCGCGTCGGTACCGGCGGCGGCCGCAGTCGGCCCTGCGTCGGCCGTTACGCCGTCGACCTGGAGTCGTTCGAGCGCGTCGCGCTGTCGGCCATGGCTAGCGCCCCATCCGGCGGCGTGCTGGTCATCGATGAGGTGAGGCCTCGCCCGCAGGGCACGCGCACGCGCTGGGATCTCCGGGCTGGTGCCACTGGAAGGCACGTGTGAGGAGCGAAGTCAAAGTGGCTGATGGAACGCCCATCTGGAGGTGTGGGCATGTCGTTTGCTTCCTTTTGCTCGTGTGAAACGTGGATCAGCGGCAGGGAAGTGCTTCCGCTGGAATGGGGGCCCTGTCAAGCTACTTTCATCACCCTACGTTCGCACAGGAGTGGAGGTTCTGTCGGGCTTCTTTCGCCACCCTGCGTTCGTGCGGAAGTGGGGGGGGGTTCCGGGAGGCCGCTTCCGTCACGGCGTTTGTACGGGTGTCTTGCCAGTGGGGTCAGGCCACGTTTTTGGAGAGTCCGATTGTTACAAATGTGCTTTTCGTGTTCATATGCCCGGATTGCTGTAAAAATGTGGTGAAGTGGCTTTAACACTTAAATCAAAATTTCTGTAGAAGAGCGCTCTGGTCTTGCAGATGTGTGTTTGCGTGGGGGGGGGGGGGGAGGGGGAGCAACAGGGCCACAGACAGCCGCTGCCACTTGTAACTCAACCCAGTCAGATCTGCCCCGGAGTAGCACTGGTCGTACTCGCAGTCGTCAGGCTGACCTACTCACCGATAGGTTATGAACACTCCACCGCGCGTTACCACCCACATCCAGGCCGTCACATTCTCGGGACACTTTCCCAGCCGCACAGCGCGGCTGTCTGGATAGGCCTCAGCTGTGTGGCCGCTAGCCAGGTCGGCCGCATGCGCAGCCTGATCGGCCGGTGTGGCTGTGCCGGTCCGTCTCGGCCGAACCCGGACCGGCGGCATGGACGTGCTGGCGGTGACGACGCTCGCTCAGGGAACCTGTGCAGTGCCTGCCGGTCCGTGTCGGCCGAACCGGGACCGGCGGCATTGATGGGCTGGCGGTGTCGACGCTCGCTCAGGGAGCCTGTGCAGTGACCACCGGTCCGTCTCGGCCGAACCGGGACCGGCGGCATTGATGGGCTGGCAGTGTCGACGCTCGCTCAGGGAGCCTGTGGCCGATGCGCTCTTGCCGTTCGTGGCGCTGTCTTGTCACTCTCGTGACCAGCTGAAGCTGCCTCGCCTCCGTCGTGTCTCGCTTCGCCGCTCGTCGCCGCTTACCCCGCCCCGTCCCCTCAGATTGGCAAGATGGAGCTGTTGAGCGCGCCGTTTCAGCGCTCGGTCCGCGCCGCGTTCGCCGGCGGCGCGGCGGTGATCGTGGCGACTGTGCCGGTGGCGCGCGGCCGGCAGCCGGCGCTGCTGGCCGAGCTGCGCTCCCGACCCGACATCCGCCTGCTGGAGGTCACGCGGCAGAACAGGGAGGCGCTCGTGCAGACCGTGGTGGACTTTGTTCTGAAGAGACTGGGCAACGGTGGCGGAGCGGTGCCCGACTGAGGGGCCGGGGGTGGGAGAGGGGCGCTCCCTGCGTGTCGGGGCAATGTCCCGCTGGTGGGCGGGGTGATAACAGAAGGGCTTTCACGGCACCCTACGGGTGTACTGTGGTGCCGGGACCTATCCCACCTGCGGACAAACCCAACGGCTGAGCGTGTGGAGTTCGCAGCGTGTGTTGAGGGAAGCATACATTTGCGCTGGGAGTTGGTGTAGGTGAGCTGCTGATGTACTGCTCCGCACAGAACCCAGGGCGTGTTTGTGTGATGTAACGTGTCATAGCTTCAAACCTGCATTGTGTGATGTCTTCTCCTTGGGCTGCTCAATATTAATCGTGCAGAAAATGAATAAACCGTACCTCCACTGTACGAGTATTGACGAGAGAGCTTTCTTTTTCTGGCCATGGTGTGAAGTGAGCTGTTTGGATAAATGGCCTTGTTGGATGGGTTCAAAGAAAATGCGCATGTCGCGTCGTGAGCTAGATTGGAAAGTGCATGTCTTCTGGAAGTGCACGTTTGCATGTCAGTGTGCGATTCATTAGAGCCTATTTTTCGTAGAGAAAATATTTCCGCTCTTGATGATTATATCTTTCTCACTAGTATATGTTTAAAATTACACTTCTAGTTGAGTATCTTTCTCCGCTCCGTCCGGTAAAGAGGGGCCCCGTCACTTTTTCAGCAGAAAAATAGAGCACTCGCTGAAAATGCTGGATGGGGGGGGGGGGGGCGATAGCAAACCCCTGTAAGCCAGCGTCGGGGCGCACCATTTCGGGGAATTTTTCTTGACCTACCGCGGGCGGGCACTTCATACTGCGTACTGTATACTGAGACGGACACACACCAGGCTGCAGTGAAATGTAATGCCAAATTTGATCATTTTAGTGGTAAAACCTTAAATGCGTGTTGAAAGCTCCGCAGGATAGGTGTTTCGCTACGACTCTTGGAAACATCTTAATCTGCTGTGACACCGAATAAGTATCAAAATCTGGACGTGAACCATATGATTTTAAGTGGCCCATGACATTTACGCCATGATCTGAATTGGGCCCTTTGCACCTCTTTGCACTGCATCACGTGCAAACGGTAATGTGCAGGTGCTCAGTTTATTACGGATACTGCTGGGGCAGTGCACAACGTGTTAAGCCCTTGTTTCAAATTTTCCGTTCGTTGTTTAAGTTCGATAAACATATTGTCTAGTACAATGCCGCATGCGTTTGGACAAAAGGCTTCCGTACGTTACGAAAGTTTAATTTACACTTTTTTGTTTTATACGGTACCGCGTGTTTTTTGGAAACCAGTGGATGATGCACGTATGTGTATTACATACAAGGTCTTCGAGTGCACTGACTGCTCATTTGTTGGAATAAAAACATTGAGACGTTGATTATGAGTCAGCGAAGTAACTGTAGAGACAGACACAACATATGAATTTGGTCTTTGCATGATAATGATTGGGGCTTAAGGGCACACCGACAGCCGAGAACATTTTGCGCCCATAAATTTAGTCATGAGCCGAGTACTGTGAGGCAGTAGTACATACGCGAAAGCCAGGAAACTTGCTATCATGGCTATCCCTCGCGAGCGACTGGCGGGTATCCCACGGGCCGTTTAGGGGAACCACGCATGCTTTTGGCTGCAATAACCTACCGGCAGTAGAAGCAACGACCACTAGCTCAAGTCAAGCACAGATGGCAGGCCCAGCATGTGTCGCTCCCCTCTTCCGAGAAGCGCTCACGTCGGGCTCATATGGCACCAGCTCGGTGCCTGTTAGTTTCTCCGGAAGCCCACAGATGGCAGCACTTGCATCACTTTCATCGCACAGGCGGCAGCACCACGAGCTCAGATGGCCGGCGGTGCAGTGGTGAATGCCCAGCAGGCCTCCACGTTCTCCGGCCAGTCGCAGACCGACTCTGCCTCGTTGAAGACCAGGTCGCTGGGGCAGGGCATGTGGTGACGGACGATACCCTGGCACAGGTAGTAGTGCTTGCAGTCCAAGGCGTCCCTGTGGAACGTCACCTCGCCGACGTCGTTGTCGCACACAACCTCGTTGGCTGAAAAGAGCGTGGTGCGGTCAATATGGGGCATGTTTGCCGGGTGCGAAGTCAGCCAAACGCTTCAGTTTCTGCCCTGAGAGCTGACTTGGGCGCGACGCGCGTCCCCCGTCCCCCCCTCCCCCGCCCGATGGATGTGTCCCCATCAGCCGTGACGTGTGGTGCCAGGCGGCCCACGGACGCGGCCGTCCGACCCGTGTCACTGGATCGCGAGTCTGGCACCACTCGGGTGACACCTGGACACGGCCTGACTTTGGGCGAACGTTACGGCGCATCCTGGTGCAAAACATTACGGTATGTTCAGAGCCTAGTTCCATATTCTGTCACCCGTGGGAGGGGTCTGGAGCCCCATCTATGAGCCGAAAGTGGATCAAGTCTGGGAGCAGCCCGTTTCAAATGCATTTTTAGCCGTTTTAGCTACTTTACTTGCTCTCTTACGTAACAAATCAGCTGGCAAAATTACAAGCCTGGGCATTTCTGACCAGCATTTCTATTGGCCTCCCGCTATCGACGTTGACAACTAAAGCGATCAAAACCTCCTCCCGCTTGCCCCCTCCCCCTGCTCCACTGCTCGGCCCACTCACGATCGGCAGCTGCCCCTGAAGTGCCGGCGGCAGCAGCGGCACCGCTCGCCCCGTCGTAGGTGTACGGCACCCGGTACCCGTCGAGGGCCTCCTGGACAGCAGCGATGAGCGGGTACCGGCCATTGCCGCACGCGCCGCTGAAGTCGTCCAGGTCGGCCGCCCACAGCATCACGCCGCCGAAGCCGAGCTCGCGCAGCCAGTCCACCTGGAGTGGGGGCGGGACCGGTGATGGCTGGAGGAGGCGCGCGAGGCAAGCTGGCCTGGTGCAGGCGGTCAGCGGAGCGGGGGGGGGGGGGGGGGGCTGGAGAGTCAGCCCGTATGGTGCTGACCACCCGGTGCCGATCCGTTCAAAGTGGGAACCAGAGTCATTCCTCGGAATCGGTGCACACGGCAGTGGTGGTTTGGCAAAGATTGGCTCAGCCGCTCGGCGCGGCATGCCAAAAGTCTTGGAAACAAACACCTCACAAGGTATTCAGACTTGCGGACAGGCTTCGGCTCCCGCCCCTGAGTCGGGCGACCACGCAACTATCCTGCACGCAACACGTCTATGGGATAATTGATGTTCAGCGACATCAGTGCACCGGATAACGCGCTCTTCGACTCCCTGAACTTAACAATAGCTCCTCTAGCAGTGTTTTAACGGTTGTTCGAGTCTCCGCGGGAGCACTGCGCACCTCGTTTTGAGCTCGCCGGCCGTAGCCTGGTCAGAGGGCGGGTGCGCTTCCTCAGACGGAACAAAGCAGAGCTTACACTTCTCGTCGATTTAGATAATGAATCTCAGTCGCTCCAAACTGGACAGCTCTTTCAGTTTCTTTCCGCCGTAGCTTTTGCCAAGGGTGTAGTTTCTTAAGTCGAGGGAGCTCGAGCCCTGCCAGCTTGGGGTTCAGCACCCCAACTTTGTGAACAACGCAAGCGACAGACGGGTAGAAACCAGCTTGCTGACGTAATTTTCGAGTTGTTTTCGTCATTTTCACCCCCACCCCTCAACTCACTATGCGAGACTACACCGCCGGATTTTGCAATGCCTTCATTATTACACCACGCAAATTTTTGATACACTGCGCAAAAAATAAAACTTACAAAGGCATTTGAGATGAGCCTTAAATTTATGTCAAGAACCCGTTTAAATTGTCACTCTGCCTCGCAATATGACACAAAAGAGGAATACATGACCGCATGCAGTCGCTGCGCTCCAGAACTCCAAACTATCATCGGTTGTTTGAGTGAACGAACAGACATGGTGCCGCCGGAGTTACCTTCAGCATCAGCGAGCGCTCATCGTCGAAGCCGACCCACTGGTCTCCCCTGAAGGCGAACGGCACCTCCTGCTCGTGGTCCCAGACCAGGGTGGTGTTCTCGCTGTCCAGGAAGTCGCACACCTGCAGCGGGCCGGACATATATGAGATTCAACGGCTCAGACGCAGCTGAATATGTGCAGACCTTACCTCCGCCCAGCTGTGACCTGATCACAGCCGCCAATACCCTCATCCGTGACCTGATCACAGCCGTCAATACCCTCATCCGTGACCTGATCACAACCGTCAATACCCTCATCCGTGACCTGATCACAGCTGTCAGTGCCCTAATCCGTGACCTGATCACAACCGTCAATACCCTCATCCGTGACCTGATCACAGCTGTCAGTGCCCTAATCCGTGACCTGGTCACAGCCGTCAATAACCTCATCCGTGGCCTGATCACAGCCGTCAATGCCCTCAACGTGGCTTTTACTAAGTTGTCACCTGCCTCCCCCCCCCCCCCCCTGTTGTGGCGTCAGCCCAAGGCCCTGCCCACCATCTATGACCTGACCTCCAGACATGACCCGACCTTCATCCAGCCGTGATCGCACCTCACCCACGAACTGGCCTCAGCCATGACCCAAACTCCCCCTCGTCTGTCCTCGCACCGTGACTCAATGCTACCTACCCTGACCTGACCCCCACCCATGCCTGACCCCGGCGGCGGCCTGACCTGACCTGGCCCTATGACCTGAGCCTAACGGCGAACTGACCTCGAAGTGGCTGACGAAGCCCGGCTCCTGGGTGAAGCGGCCTTGTTTGCCGGCGTCAACGACCGGTGCTCCGATGTCGTACAGGGCCGGGTCCTGGAGGGTGTAGGTGCGGCCGTAGGTGGCCAGGCCGATCAGTATCTTCTCCGGGGGCGCGCCCTCCCTCACCAGTTCCCGAGCAGCGCCGTCCTGCGGAACAGCGGCGGCAGGGAGGTCAGACGAGGCCGCGGTGGGGTCAGACAGGGCAGCGGCGGGGTCAGACGGGGCAATGAGCGGGGTCGGACAGGACCGGGGCGGGGACATGGGGCAATGTGCGGAGTCAGACGGCATCGATGTCGGGCGGGACCGGGGTGGGGTTAGACGGGACAAGAGCAGAGT